GCGAGACGCCGCAGTCGGGACAGCTGTCGGGTACGGACGGGTCGAGCCGGTGCTGGTACTGGCGAAGGAGCATGCTGTAGCCACTGCGTTGCTGCGCCAGGGTACAGCGAGTTACCCTTGGGAGATGTCGTTCCGAGGCCGCAATCGGAGGTGGATAGCCACCCAGAAGGACCGGGGTTGGTCGCTGGATTTTGCGTCCACATCGGCTCTCTGGTGAAGGCGCTGGTAGCCTGTCTTGATGGCGAAGCCATCAGTGGGTAGATCCGAGAGAGACGAGGTTGTTGTATATAGAGTATGAGTGTGGCAGCAAGCGTTATCTTCATACCTCTTTAGAGCGATGAGCTGAAGCATTATGCTCCATCCATTCTGCGCCTACGGATGCCGCTTTAACCGAGGGCACGTTTGACGCTGTCCAGGAACACACGCTGTTAATGGGTTCATAGGCAATCGCCAGATTGACTGAAGCATGCTCTTTTGGACAGCATTTTCTACATAGGACCACCTGGGTCGACTTTGGAGACTAATCTATCAATAGGACCTAGTCTCAGCAGTAAATGCTCCACTATAATAAATTCCCGTTGTTCAGTGTACTTCTTGGCAAACAAAAATGCGATCTCTTATATGTTTCACACTTAAAAACAGCTTGAGCATTTTTTGGCGCAGTTCAAAGGCCTGCATAATTTTCCTGCCTATCTTCATAGAGCAAATCGGCAGATTTTCCCCGGGGAATGGTCTCAGTGGGCATGATCTCACTTTTTTAGTGTACGACGGTAGAGTCGTCGTCGTTGTCCTGCTTACTACTGGACCGTTTTTGTCTGCCCTGCTTATTTCTGGGCATGGATCTATCATTAATAAGGCGCCGCGTAGTGACTTTACTTATATTGAAAATACCCGGTAGCGGCTCACGTGGCAATAATTCTGCTGCCAGATTCCATAGTTACGCCACCAATATGTAAAACGGAATTTTTAAATTTGAATCCGCCTCCGTATTTCTAAAAGCAATGCGGTTTATCACACCGGCTTTTACTTGCTTTTTTGATGGATGCAAAACCCAATTTTCCGCTCCCTGAAGAAATCTATGAAAAAATTGTCCTGCTTCTACTAATATTCACTTACGGTACAGTGCTCACAAACAACAACTTTGATCTGTGAATTTTTAATGCCTAAGAATTTGCTTGTATATTAATAAAGTTTGGATTGTGCTCAATTCTGGTCCACCCTTTTCTTCAGTAGAAGAGTCGAATGAAGTCTGCTTTAGTAAGAAGCTTTCTGCATGTTAAATCAGTTCAACAAACAGAGATAACGACGTCACAAAGGTGTGCCATGATTCCCACGCCAATTTTGAATCCAATATTTAGGCAATCTACGGTATGTAGGCCTGCGATCTTTCGACGCACCTGAATAAGCGTGTTAGCACACGCTTGCTCAACCTGCCAACAGAAGAAGGTAGTGGAAGCTACCATTCAACGTGTAGCAACCAGATGGTTTATGGCCGCCTCTAGGTTACTGTCAGGCCATCATCATCGGTCGACCAACTACGGAAACCGGAGCAGGTAACTTGGCGTCTAATTAGTTAAGCCCGGAAGTGGTTTCGGCTGATTAAGCCCACGTTGTTAGG